GCGTCTCTACGACACAGTACACCCCAATGCACGCAATTTGTGTTATATGCCAAGGGGCCCACCATATACATCTTGTTGATTAAAAAACTTTCCAAAACAGATGACCTCACCCAAACGCAAGGTCAGCCGAAACTTCAACAACGGACGGCACGCTCTCGACTCTGAAGTTGCTCACTGAAGAATACGCACAAGCCCATCACGAAAGTCAATCAAGTCTACACACACGATGACGTGGAACAAATATCATAGATCCGGGACCAAGGATCGCCTGAGAAAATCGGCGAACCAGTGGAATCGGCAATGAATCCGACGATTTGCGAACTCCAGTCAGCACAAAAGGAAAGGAAGCCGGAGTCCACGTTCCTCCCACCTGGATAACTGACGATTTTCGATCCTACGTCCAAGAGTACAAGGAAGGTTGTGGTCTTACTAGACACAGGAGCAGAGTTATCCTTCATCGATAGTTCACTCGCGGATGAACTAAGGATTACCAACAATAGAGGAAACTAAGCTGAGGCTGCATACCTTTGGCTCAAACACTATCCAAGAAGAGCCAAGCCGACGAGTACAGTTAGATACATGGGATGAGGACGGGCAACCCCTGAGGCTTGTTCTGTACACGCATAAGATTCTGGCTAAAGCGGTAACGGCTCCACCAATTTTTGAAGAAGATGTGAACTACATAAGATCACTTCGATTCGAATAGGTGGAAACCACAAGCAAGTAAAACCTCTCATATTGCTTGGCTGTGATCAAGTTTGGTCATTGATTAGAAATGGCCAATCCCATATTCTGCTCCCTTCTAGACTACATTTTGTACAAACGCGTATCGGTCAACTAGTGACAGGGAACCTCCAACTTTTGCGTCCACCTAGTCGCACCTCCCAATTGCTCGCTTTGTCAAACAAATGGGAAGGATAAGAGAAGAAGGATATTACGTACGTTTTCCTTGGAAAGAGAATTGTTTATTCTTGCCGGACAACCGAGTGATTGCGTATCGACGCCTGATTAGCACGTAGCCTTCACTCGAAGAAAAGGATTATTAGACCAATACAATGAGGTTTTCCAGGACCAACCCAGACAAAACATCACTGAAGTAGTAAACGAAGAGGAACGAGTATTGGGTCGAGTTCATTATATACCCCATCAGGCGGTCCTTACTCCTCATAAAAATACAACCAAATTAAGGATTGTATTTGACGCCTCGGCCCACTACAGAAACGCGTGCTCTTTGAACGACAATTTACACAGGGGGCCGGTCATTCTTCCGAGTTTACACGGGCTTCTACTTCGCTTCAGATTCGGACGGATTGCAATGATCGCGGACGTTGAAAAGGCGTTCCTACAGGTCCACCTTCAAGAAACCGATAGAGATTCAACTGTAGACGTATCGCGATAAAGCATGTTAGGACTGCAACGTCGTCCATGGGGCAAGGATTGTAGCTTTTAAGATAACAGTAGTAGTTCAGATTATCATCTACGTCCTCTTGTGCCGTCGGCTGGAGCAGACTGCTCCACATCTTCCGTTGTAAGTGTTTTGAAGATAAAGTTTCTTGAGGGAGGGAAAAGGATCTAAACCACACAACACACGCCAACAAGCACTTGGGCCGGAACGAACAAAACCCTCATAGGAAACTTCGTCGACAAACAATCTTTCAACAGCACTTGGAAGAAGAGTTCCCCTCTCACTTCCTGATAGTGCAACCAGCTCAAGAGCCGTTGGTCGCAGTGGAGCTGAACAGCTGCCGTGGGGTAGCACCACTAAGTGAGTGGAATACCATCCATTCATCATACTTAGTGGGCGGGTAAGCAGTTTTGCAAGGCAAAACTCTGCGCAAAATTTTTTTGTGCACACTAGCCCAGAACCTACCTAGGAGCAGCCGGAATTGCAAGCTTCAGGTAGCTTTGCAGTCTAACAAAGCAGGGCAGCACCGAGATTCGGCAGAGACCGGATAGAAAGTAGCGTAGCGGTGAAGCTACGTAGCTATTCTTGTGCTATCTCAAATACATTGAGATACCAATCGGACACCTTAGGAACCTGGAATCCAGTAACGTGTAGCCTTTGAAATTCTGCTTTGTTTTGCGAGATTTTTGAAGTGTTGCCAGAATTACTGAGCATCTAGTCTCATACACTTTTCAGATATGGCTGAAGTGACTTCGATAAGGAAGTGGAAAAGATGCTTTCCATGGAGATAGAGGAGGACGCTCGAGTCACACTTCTCCAATCACAAGTGTCATCGCTTATGGAGCAAGTACAGAAACTGACACAACAAGCAGCGCAGGTAAAAGACTCATTGTCCATAAAACGTACAGAAGTATGGGCGTTGCACACATTTCCTCAGCGAGCCCTACAAAACCTTGAAAACGGCGGTAATACAAGGTCCGCAGTCAAAAATCGCGAGGAAATAGCTCAAGAAATAGCTCAAGCAATTTCGGAACTTTCTGGTGCTAGTTATGAAACCATAACTAAAGAGCTTCCAAAAAATGGACCAATTGATAGACCAGCTTTTGCAATGGAAATGCTAC